ACGACACGTCGGCCAAAGGAACGGCTATTTAGTACTTCCCATAGGACTTGGAGTTATGATTGTATTGGTGTTAATAGGGTCTAACTTAGCATGGTTAGTTTATAGTTGCAGACGTTATAGGGTGGTCAGGGGTGAGAGACTATTGGTCACCACTGGACATGTATGTGATTATGGGTCTACATCTAGCGCGCCAACGGCTTCGATTACTGTTAATTCATAGATGTTTACAATGAAGACTATTTGTTGAGTATTTTTTGAAAGCATTTGTATTTGAAAATTGTATTAATTTTAAAACATTACTAATTAAAAGCACATTAATAACGAATGAAATAAATTATGATAAATATAGTATTATAGTAAAACTAATTAAAACTTTTAATTATATATATTTATTATATTATGTAAACTATTTTATAACATTAGGTTTTGATTAAAATCACATTAATAATGTGACATAATATTATTTAATAAAATAATTATAATCAGTTGTTTGTAATGTCAATTATATTATGAATTAATGCTATTTCAATATTTTATTACAAAAATCAAATACTCACCATGACTTGAAAAGTGAATATTTTATTTACTTTATAATATTTAAATAACTTTAATAACATTATTAAGATTATAATGCATTTTATCTTATTTATTTTGGTATTTACTTTTTACATTTACAATGTACTGTATATTACTCAATATTTTACTCTTACCACTTATTTAAGCAGGATAACAAAATATTTGTTCAATTCATAGCTACTTTCAAAAGACATTTAAATTTTAATATAAGTTTTATTACTCCAATGAATATGTTTTTCAATCAATTTTTAGCATATATATTATTAGACAATTTGACATTTATTATCGTATTCACACTGATTGTCATTATATTGACAAATATATTAAATAATTTACGGATAAGAAAGTATTTACCTACCGGTCCGATAGGCCTCCCACTGGTCGGGTATCTACCATTCCTGGGCAAAGAGCCCCACAAAACAATCACCAAATTGGGTGACAAATACGGATCTGTCTTCACGTAAGTCTTCGCAAATAATTTCAATTATATTTAATGTCTTAATATTTAATTAGAAATACATTCATTAGAAAATGCTATTATTATTAGTGTTTATTATTTTCAATATAAATTATTTAGAAAATTATAGTTAATATTAAAGCTATTATTTAATTGCCATTATGTTATGAGTTTAAACATTTGGAAAATAATTTTAAAATACTTTTTTAAAAAGTAAATAAATTTCTATAATTATCTCAAGATTGCAATTAGGAGTGAATAATGTGGTCGTACTTAACGATTGGGAAGTCGTGAGGGATGCCTTAAATAAGGACACATTTTTAGGCCGACCCCTCAATCCGTTCACATCTGGCGAGAGATCCAGTAATTGTTTATTGATTTACGAAACCATTAATTAATAATAATTATTAGATTTAAATGTTTAAACAAATAATAAATAGGTTTTATGGACGTGAGTGGACAGGTATGGCGAGAGCACCGGAGTTTTGCGGTACATGTGCTCAAAGAGTTGGGATACGGGAAGGGCTCGATGGAGGACAGGATCACCGATGAGATCAGTTATCTTATCAAACATATCGACGAGACTAATGGTGAGCCCATGAATATACACGACGTCTTGACGCCCAGTATGTCCAACAATATCTGTCATCTGGTGTTTGGCCACCGATTGGACTTCAATGAACCCAAACGCCAGACGATGGACAGGATGTTAGACGAGGCGTCGAAAGTGTTTTCAGTAATCGGGGTCTTAATGATGACACCCCTGTGGTTGAGTCAACTCATGTTCAAAGTCGTGGCAATGAATAAAAACAAAAAGTTTATAAAAGCTTTCGATGTTTTTAAGTATGAATTCATTTATAATTTTATAATAATAATAATAATTAATCCTTTAATCCGTGGTTTATATGATTAGTAAAGAGATTTCTTCGCACCAGAAGTCGTTTGAAGTGAATAATAGAGTCAATGATTATATCGACGGATACTTAGCGGAGATGGAAGTGAGACAACGAAAGGATCCCAACACTCACTTCACCCGTCAGTCCAGACATACAGACATTGATTGCAGTGTTTAATAAATGTTTGCATATTTAGTGCCGAGACTTATGGCTAATTGTCGGGCGTTTTTTGGTGCCGGTAGTGAAACAGTGCGGACGACCACCGAATGGCTGTTATTACTGTCCGTCAGATACAGCGAACACCAGAAGAGGATTCACGAAGAGATCGATTCTGTGGTCGGAAGAGATCGGAGTCCCTGTTATGCCGACAGACTATTACTGTCCGTCAGATACAGCGAACACCAGAAGAGGATTCACTCAGAGATCGATTCTGTGGTCGGAAGAGATCGGAGTCCCTGTTATGCCGACAGACTTCATATGCCGTTCACTCAGGCGTTCATTTGTGAGATGTTTCGATACAAAACTATAGTTCCCTTAAATCTGATGAGAAGGTATGAAAATAAATGTTTGACAAAAACAGTAATATTTTAAATATATTTTATTTATAGCACATTAGAGGACACATCAGTTTTGGGTCATTTCATTGGTTTTCTGTGATTTCAAAATCGGTTATATACCCGGCAAGTATTGCTGGGGTTTCATACCGTATTTGGCGTTCTGAAATTAGGCTTAGCTAAGGACACAAGTGATGGCAAACAAGTGATTAAAACAGAGGCTTTGATACCATTCTCTATGGGTTTGTTAGGAATCTATAGAATATAACTATAACTAAGAATATTCTGTATATGTATTGACCGATAGGTAAACGCAATTGTGTTGGCGAGACGTTAGGACGAGTGGAGGTATTCCTGTATTTCGTATCACTTCTACAAAGATATACAATAAGTGCAGCAATTGATGGGACAGTCGTATCGTTAGAGGAGACATTCGGGTTAACACTACAGCCCAAGAATCCTATGATTCTTAGATTTGAGAAACGTGTATAAATTCTTATCCCATAATATGTGGCTTTGCTCGTAATATAATAATTATTTTTCTCATTGATTGTTTATATGAAGAAACCAATAAATTTTTGGCATACAATATATATTATTTTGATTTTTGGAATTGTTTTAGTTATGCAGGTACTGATTAGGTACTGCGGGACTGTCACACTGCAATATTGTTGAATTTATTGATTATTGTGTTTGAGTAGTTAATCGCACAGTACTTCGTATATGATTCATATCCCTCAACACAATTTCGATACGTTTTTAACTTTGCATTTCTGTGGCACCAAAATTGCACTTTAGACGAGAGTCGAGAACTTAAATACAAAAGTTATGCCAACTAGTAAGCCAATAGATCATTATTGAAAATAAACAAGCAACATTTAGTTTAAACTTACTTTTGTTATAACTATTGCGTAATTTTCAATGTATTGTTTCGTTTTATAAAAGCGATTTAAAGTTATACATTGCTTACAAGACTTTCAAACTCCTATAATATTTGATTTGCAAAATATTAGGATAAATTTAGATCATAATTTATTTGTAAAAATAACAATTCGTATAATAATTAGCGATATTCTCCGCGATATAATCGATTAGTTGTGGAAACAAATAAATCCAAACAAATGTCTAAATCGATGGCAGGAATGATGTCTCAGAAGGTGATGTGTCTGCAGATGAGATCGTGGACTGGAAGTGCTGTAAAGCCGGCGATCGTAATGCCCACGGAATCACTCAAAGTAGTGATACTTAACGCAAACTCTTTGTACTTATCGTTCACTTCAGTGTAGATGCGGTGGAATGTGTTGACATACGCGGCCCCACCTAACAGACCCTCGAACAGCACCAGCGCTAACATCACCCAAATATTGGGCATAAATTTGAGCCAAATCTGTGACAATACGACTAAAACATTGATAAACTGAAGGATCGCTAAAACATATAATTTCCTGATTTTCACGAAACTTAGCGATGATCTCGATATCAATACTCCGATCTGTTATACAAAAACACACATTAATAGCCATTTAAACGACAGTCAAGTCGTAAAGTGGTGGACAATCACCTGATAGTCAACGTTATACCAGCGATATTGTTCCCTATGGGAGAGCCATATGTGTGGGAAGTAAACTAATTCAAACTAAACGCACAATCAATTCATTATAATAGACACACAAATCAATACATAATTTGCAAAAACAATTCAAAACACATACCAATCCCTGATTAATAAAGTATTCAAACAAGTAAACCATCATTAATGGTATCATATATTTCAAGAGTTTCTGAAATAAAAACACAATTAATAACAGAATATACAGAACATTTCTGTAAATGATTGCATACAATGACGAAAACAGTCCTCTCATAAGCGGTTAATTCGTGTGAATGACTAGTATTTTGTGGCAAAACGTGTGTCTCATCGCCGCCACCGCTGTCCACAAGGGATGGCATATCATTGGAGTCACTAATCAAAGGTCTGACGCTCTCATCAGTGATGGACGGGTGGGTTGGCTCGCATATGAAGCACCAGTAGGTCAGTGCCATCAATACGGGTATGAATAGCATCACTAATAGCGTATTCTTTGGACTCAAACCCCAAGAGGTTAGCAA